AAAAACTGTAAACCCCTGTCCATGGCTCGAGAAAAAAATCTGCTGAGCGCAGTAACACGTCTAATCAGATTCTGTACCTGTTTAATGCCAGTCAGGCTTTTCATGTCGAGCAAAGCTTGAATCTTCTCTGAGTTAGCTTTTATGCCTTGTTGGTTAACAAGAAAACCCAAGAATTTTTCGGAGCTCACTTTGACAGCACTTTTTCAATGGATTGAGCTTCATCTGATACTTTCTTAGGGTGTCAAACATTTCCCCCAGGTGCTCAATATGACTTTCGACGACCTTTGATTTGACGAGCATATCGTCGATGTATACTTCCATGGAGTGGTCGATTTGATTGGCGAACATCTTGTTCACCAAGCGCAGGTAGGTCGCGCTAGCATTCTTGAGACCAAATGGCATAACTCTGTAACAATAAAGCCCACGATCAGTAATAAAAGAAGTATGCTCTTTCTCAGGCTGGTACATCGAGATTTGGTTGTATCCTGAGTATGCGTCCATAAAACTAAGTAGTGCGTTTCCAGCCGTCGCATCTACAAGCTAATCAATCCGGGGTAGTGGAAAGTTTTCTTTCGGACAGGCTTTGTTTAGATCCGTGAAGTTGACACAAGTCTGCTACTTGCCATTCGGCTTCTTGACTAGGACTGGGTTGGCAAGCCAGTCCGGGTACCTAACTTCTCTTATTAAGTTGATTTCTAAGAGCTTGTCGACTTAATCTTTGAGTGCTTAAGAGCGCTCTGCATCCATGGCCCTTCTTTTCTATCTTTATAGGTTGAGTCTCTGAGTCAAGGTTTAACCTATGGCATATCATTTTAGGGCTGATCCCGACCATATCATCGTGCACTCATGCAAATACATCAAGGTTTTTCTTCAGAAAGTCGACTAGTTTATCGGCCATCACTCTGCTCAAGCTGGTGCCGATCTTCAATATGCGAGTCAAATCCTCCTCGCTAATACTTACTCCTATCAGCTCCTCAGTTGGTCCCATTATGGACTCTTCTTTGTGACTACGAGGATCAATGGAGTCTTCTAGTGGTCCGGGGCTTGGCTTGGATCTGCGATGATCATGGTCTTTGGATGTGACCATTTCTGTGTGGCGTTTATGGCCCGATTATAACATTCCCATAACTCTTTGGAGTAGCTCCTGACTGTCGAGACTCTCCCAGTATTTGAAAACCTTATTGCTTGGCAGCGCACTGACATGACTGCGCTTAAATCATCCAAGATTGGCCTTCCAAGTATGACGTTATATGTGGTCAGGCAGTCCACCACTAGGAATTCAACCATTATGGTTTTGAACTTTGGTTCAGCCCCCAGAGTTACGAGGAGGTCTATAGTACCTTAGGGAACTAGGCTATCCCTGGTGAACCCACAGAGCAGCGAAGGGCACGCTCATAGATTCCTTTCTATGAATCCCACTCCTCGGAAGGCTCCCAAGAAAATAATGTTCACTACGATCCTATTGTCGACCATGACCCTTCACAACCCTTTGGGGTTATCCTGCACTTGGAAGAAGAAGTAGAAAAAAGAATAAATATAGTGATAATTTGATTCTTCGTCTCCGTAGTAAATAGGAGAGAAAATCGAATTTCTTTCTTCGTTTTTACAATATACAAAAGAAAAAAAAAAGGAGTTAATTAATATTTTACTATTTTTTATATTTTAGAGTTATAACAATTAGTTAGTTATGAAAATCCTTTTGGAGCGAATCATTTATTAAGAAAAATCGATAAGCTTAATACAAAATACAAAAGCAGAAAAAGAAATAATAATAACTTGGTCCCGGGCATCTACCATTATACCCACAATGGTCGGCCATACTATTGATATCCATAATGGAAGGGAGCATTTGCCTATTTATATAACAGATCGTATGGTAGGACATAAATTGGGAGAATTTGCGCCTACTATAAATTTCCATGGACATGCAAAAAATGATAATAGATCCCATCGTTAATCGTTAATAAAGTGAATATAGATTCATTGGGGAGAGGTGAACCTTATGATAAAGAGGTTGTACAAGGAAGGCGGTAGATTATAGAACAGACAGAATGGCAAAGAATGATAAATAAAAATAAAGTAGTTAAAGTAAAAACTAAAGGAATTCTTTTGATTGAATCCGGAATCAAAGTTAGTATTCGGTGTGTGGATAAAAGATCTACCTATGTTATACTATTCAATTCTCGACGCTGAATCGACTTGATAGCTCAGATATTGTTATTCATGATATTGATCTGATTCGATATCATCGAAATGGAATTCATCCCATTGAATTTACAAGCGAAAGGTTTATCATCTCTATGGGATTAAATCCCAAGTTATTGCAAAGTAAAAAAAAAAAAAAACGAAACAATGAGATTATGGAAGTAAACATTCTCGCATTTATTGCTACTGCATTGTTCATTCTAGTTCCTACTGGTTTTTTGCTTATAATATACGTAAAAACTGTGTGTCAAGGTGATTAATTTGAATGAAACTTGACTTCTTAGTTCTTGTCAATGATTTAAGAAAAAAGATTCCAATTTCACGTCTTAAATGAAGGGTTGACTAGCTGATCAAACTAAATTATAACTTAATGCATCTCTTTACATAAAACAGTGTTCTCATGGTTTTAGTTATTATAGTTTTTATCGCTTCAACAAGTAAGAATCTTATATTGTTGATAAGCGATTATCAAACTTTCTTTAGTGTACTTTTAGATTATATATTGATGATGCATAACGAACCACCATTGGATGCTACAATGGTAAAAGAGCAAAATGAGGTTTCATAAGCTTCTGCGTTCGAGTCTCGCTGTGCACTAATAAGGGTGGCCACTAAAGCTCTTATCCGACTGGCAATTCGAGGGCCTTGGGAGATTAGTTGAGATTCGAGTTCCCAAACGCTAATAATGGTAACCATTGAGGGAATTTACACGGTCGTCAACTTTAGGGTCCCGAAAGATTAGTTTATGTACGTGCAAGCTGATTCGAACACCCCGATCACCAAAAAAAAAAAAAAAAAAAAAAAAAATTACTTGAGATGTGCACAAGTTAGCCCAAACACCTCTTATTACGTATCGAGTGTCTCATAACACAAATCCAAGGTAGATATTAATTGCTTTCCCTAATAAACATTTATAGGGTTTAAGGTGGTAAGTTCAAAACATGGGGTGGCCAAGTAATAAAGTGAATTTATAGGGACTGATTAAAAATTCTATATAAAATTTGAAAGTTTTTGTGAACCCTATGGTTTAGCCCTAATTTATGATGTATATCAAATGTGTTTGGTTAGATTACCACCCATATAATCAACAATTATTATTATTGGTATTGGAAAATTATTGAAATCTTATATTACTTAACAATCAAACATAGTAATGTCAATAATATAAGATGACATTACTAGAATAATAAGAGATAACCCCAACTAAATAGCCCCTAAGAGGATATTATATACTCCTGTTATATAACATATATAATCAAGATTAAGAAGATAAATTAAAATATTTTTTCCTTCAAATTAGTGATATATTAATTTATCATTTACATATTAATGCTATGTTTAAGATACTGATTGAAATGTATGGTATTTTACTCATACAATATGAGGGGAAAGAATTCCAGTTGTAAAATATACAATTGAAGACATTAGACCATTAAAATCCTTAATCCTTGGTCCTTCCAACAATTTTTTGGGCCTCAAGTACTGATTTATAAGGGTCCATTTATTTTAGAGTAAACCGTTCAAATCTATTAGGTTAAATTATAACGTTGATTTAGTATTATATAACAAGATTTTACACATATTCTAAAAAACACTGCTAAATTATGAAAATTTATGTATGCCACCTAAATCACCTAGTTAACATAGATAAATCAAAATCTAAAACATTCTTGTACTCATTCAAATAAGTTATATTTTTAAAATGCCTTTGATACAGAAAATATTATATAATTAAAAATGTTATATTAATAAAAAAAAAAAAATTAGTCGGAGGTAACACTATTTTATTTGGAAGCTTGACCTTGAGTCTTCTCCTGCTAATGTTAATTTGTCCATCGAAAATGATAAAGCTATTGAAGGTTACGCATCGAATTTATGTACCAAATAACATGATAAAATCTTGATCATTGATTAATATTAATTAATAATAAATTAACGATTAAGATTTTGTCATGTTAATCGGTACATAGATTCGATGCACAACCTTATGTAGTATTACTTTTTGTCTATATGTATAGGCTAAGGGCTATTTGATTGACTCAACCCCTGCAAGATTTTTTTAACTCTGTTCAAATCTTAAGCCTGTACTATTGTAGGACCCAATTTTTGTTTCTCGTCATGCTTTATTAAAGCTGAAAAGATTGGCGCTTGTTCTGTCCCCATAGTTTAGGACTTTAGGTCAATTTTGGTCCCTCCTCATCACAACCTCTAAGAATGACCACATTTGATTTTGCGGTTCATTACCTGTTTTTCTCACTTTTTTTTAAAAATTGTTTGATCCCACTTCCAAGTGAAAGAATGGAATATTGGTGAATAACAGCTACTTCTAATAGATGCATCCAGTATGAAATTTTTAATGTATCATTTAAAAAGTTTTGAGTTAGACTCTTTTTTTAATCCCTATTAACATAGCTATTAAAACTCTTATTTAATTAATAATTTTAAAGTATTAGATAATTAATTAAGGTATGCGTATCTGATTAATAATTTTAAAGTATCATATGATTAATTGAGGTATGTGTAAACGAGTCTGGACACTCTCTTTCGTAAAAACAAAATGGTTTGGACCAATCTCATATAACTATTAAACATATACTTGTTTAAGTGATGCATTTAATTTTATATTCCTGTCATAGTTAATTTAATTTTCTTGCATTAAGATGCTGCCCAACATTCATTAATTGTTTGTAATATTTAACTTCATAAATTAAAATGGAAACAGAGGAAAAAAGCAATCACGAGTTGATTTATTGGATTACAAATTATCTAGTTACATTGATTCTACATAGTATATGAAAGGGAAAGAAATATATATATATATATATGAATGACAAAGCCTAAACATGAACGTCTAGAAGTAGAATGCGTCCATCTTCAGGATCCGGTGGCTTAGCAAATTACAGGCGGTGCGGTTTAAGGGCAGCATAAGTCCGAGGTGATGGAGCAGGTGCAAGTTCAACCGTTGACTTTTGATCAGACGTCAAAGTATCAGTATGATTGGCATAACGATTCTTCATACAAGGAATCAAATTTAATGACTTCTCGTTTGGACAGGTCCTCCGCTTGGAGAAGAATTTACGGCATTCTTCAGGTGATCTCTGAAATGTAAGATCCAAAATGCAGTTCATCCGAATATCAAGTTTCTTGTTCCTTATCAACTTCCTGCATTCAGGTCCAACCTGCGTAAAATAGTTATATGACAAAGACAAGTTCGCGAGCTTCGGCAGCTTGCAGACCATCTCCGGAACCGGCCCGTAAAACTGGTTATTAGCCAAATTGAGGTTCTGCATACTGGCCAAACATCCAAAAGAGTGCGGAATGGGGCCAGTCAACACGTTGGTGCTGACATCGAATACAGTGGCATTTCTCAGGAAGCCGATTTCATATGGCAAGCAACCTGAGAACTTGTTGTTCAGGAAAAGCACTTCTAGCAGGTTCTTTGCTTTGCCAATGCTGCTTGGAATGGGACCGGTGAACTTGTTGTTGGCGAAAGTGAGATAAAGAGCTCGTGTGGAGCCAAGATTCGAAGGAAGATTTTCCGAGAAGTGGTTGTTATTGATGAAGAGGACATCAAGATCCAGGTTGAATACTTCAGGTGGAACCTTTCCTCCAAATGAGTTGAACCTGAGGTCCAAGAAGGTTAATTTCTTGCAGTTAAGAACTTCCATTGGGAACTCACCGGATAACTTGTTGTTGCTGACATCTAGCTCGTACAAGTACTTAATCTTGGATGTTAATTTTGGGATTGAAAGGGTGAAGTTATTGGAATTCACGTGGAAGATTGCCAAGTCATCCAACTGCTCAAGAAAATCAGAGAGGCTAAATCTCGGACCCTTAAAATTATAGCCATTGAAGTCTACTCCCGCAACCGCCCTCTGTTTTACGTCAGGACGAGTATCACATACAAAGCCTTTGTATTTGCAAACATTTTTACCTTTCCATGAATTTGTAATATGTTGTGGATCATCAACAATTCTAGTCCTGAATCTTTGAATTACTTCGCGAGCACGCATGAGTCGGGCATTCGGCACGGACGGGGTTGGGGTGGGTGTCGGTATTGGAGACGGAGGTGGCGGTGGTCTTAGCTTTGGTGGAACTGGTACTGGTGGCAGCGGAGGTGGTGGAGATGACCGCCGAGGCGGCGATGGCTTTGGTGGTGATTTCTGCCGCGGCGGCGGCTGTGGCGGTGGCGGCGATGGCGGCGGTGGAAGCGGTGATGGAGGCTGTGGCGGAAGCGGCGGTGATGGCGGCGGGCAAATCGGCTCGGGAGGAGGAGGAGGAGGACAATTTTGATATCCAGGAGAGGGAGCGGGACCAACTCCACCTCCACCTCCACCGATAATGATCTCCAAACCTTCTCTTCTTGTTTGATGATCACCAATTACCTTATGATGCAAACATGAATTAAAAATGAAAGCGAATAGCACTAGTGAAGAACAAAGCTGAGAAATGGAGGCCATAATTGTATTCTACAGGATTTTTGAGAGTTGTAGCTATATAAATAGAATAGAGAGTGGTAGACAAAGAGTGGATGGCAGTCAAAGACTCACGAGCAAATCAGACGACCGTCTACCTCAAATTTACTAGCACTGGTGTTTAACTCACTCTGCGTTTATTGTATATTTACTTTCTCCAACTTTTTGGTAGGTTCCAAAATTTATGGCTGTCTTTAACTATGGCTTCAATGCATGCCCGTCCAACTCTCTGGTTTTAATTCAATTCATTAGATTTACATAATGAAAATGGCAATAATACAGTACTACTACTGCCAGCCCGGTAGATAGATGATGATTAGAAAAAAGAAAAAGAACAACGAAAATATGGTATTCTGCCAACCCATTGAGAAACTTTTAGATTCGAATCAAAGGTTAAAGTAATCAATTAATAATCTAAAAGCTTGAGCTAGTTATTTTTTGTTCTAATAACATGTTCCTTGTGTGGAATAATGTATGTGGATTAAACAATACCCTTAACTACTAACCACTAACAAACTAATTAACAACAAACAACAAATAACAAATGTATATATAACTAAAAGTTTATGTTTTTATATAATTTATTTGATAAAATAGATTTTTGAACACTCGACTACTTTTTTAATACAAACTTAAAAAATTATCTTATATAGGTAAAAGGGTAATACTATACTTATAACTCAATCTCACAACCTTGATGTGACGATTCATAATTAGTTAACTCGCAAATGGGTCTCGTTTACCCAATTGTGAGTTGCTATGTTGGGGTTGTGAAAAAAAGTTTGTAAAATCCTACAAATAGAATCTAAGCAAGAACTTAATAGTTCACTTCTTGGGTAGCCAAGACTTTGGATTTACATTATAAAGTTATATACTCTTATCAAGTGTTTGAAATAAATTTGTGAGTGGTGTTATTTAAGCTCCACCCAAACTCTTTTTGAGTCCCAAAATTAATTAATTTTTTATTCCAAAAATACCCCTTTCCTAATCTTTTTCAACTTCTTTAATTTCCTAATATTTTTCAACTTTTTTTTTTTTTTTTTAACTCGTGATTTAGAAACAGTTACTGAAAACCCATAAAAAGAAAATCAAAACAATATTGAAAATAATATTTTTTGTCATGATTTTGCACAGGAAATATATTTTCCCACCTTTGTTTTGTTTTTCTTTTTATGAGTTTTCATAACTTTTCTTGAATCACAAGTACATCCGACATTCTCTTCCAAAAAATAAACAAATAAAAAAGGAAAAAAATTCAAGAAAGAATTGTTTTTGAACAAATTTGCTGTTTATTAATTATGATTAAACAAATGAGAAGTTAAAAGGATTAAGAAAGAAGATAAATTAAAAAGCCCAAGAAAGTAAAGAAGTTAAAAAATATTAGGAATACGTTAATTTTAGAATAAAATAAAATAACTAAATTGATTTTGGGGATTAAAAAAAGTTTAGGTCGATTTAGATAAACGCCACTCCAAATTTGCAATAAAGCAGGGAACAGGACCTCTTGGCCAGGGCGGCGGACGCCTTGGACAAACTCAAATATTTTGCAGAGTAAACGACTTGTTCCCACCCAAAGTTTGACGAAATAATAAGTTCCTACCCCTGGTTTCATAACTTTTAGAATCCCACCCTTAAAGTAACACCGTTAGTGACCATTAAATTCTAACACATATGCAAATGATACTATTACAAAACTGCCCTCCCATCTTCTTCTTCTTCTTCTTCTTCTTCTTCATCTCACCAGCTCCAAATCCCCTAAAAGCCATGGCCACCATCGTCGCCGCCACCACCATCCCAAAACTCATCCAAATTCTTGTCAGTATACTCCTCTCCTCCACATTACAATTACTGAAATATCCAATGATTCAAGTTTCAGTATGACTTAAAACTAAGATAAGTAAAAATTAAGAGGGAAGTAATTGCATTATCTTGTATATATAAAAGATGTGGTCCGAATGAAGCCATTCTTTAACTTTCAGCTTCTTCACCAATCACCATGACATCTTTCATTTCTAACTTCTCTCCCTTTGGTAGCGTTTGTTGTTCTTCATCTCCATCAAACTCCACCAACAAGTCACCAGCGAAGCAGTCGAGAGAAGACTAGAGGAGAGGCTCCAAGCCCATTCCTTCGACTGGAACTTATCCAGCCAAAGACCACTATAGGTTCTAAACATTTCATTTATTATTCCATCCAAGCTTTGTTTTCATCAATTTATTAATTAGTTAATTTTTTTTATTAAATACATGTATGGAGCAGTCGCTTCGGTAAATCCCTTGGCCTAAAAAGGCAAAAGCTCAGCTACCTCTACTTCTACCTCAAAAAGCAAGCAACACACAACTCATATCAGGCAATTGGATTTCTCGATGTCAAACTAGGACCCATAGTTCATAGTATAAAAAGAGAATCTATTTTCTTTTTCCCAGAAAAACAGATTTGGTGTTAGTTGTGGGCGTGGATTTTCTTTGAGCAAGTTATGGGCGTGGCTTAGGAGTGCAGAAATCCGATGAGGAGGGGGGGGGGGGGGGGGGGGGGGGGGGGGGGGGGGGGGGGGGGGGGGGGGGGGGGGGGGGGGGGGGGTGTTGCCAGCGACCTGATTACACACAACAATCAACTAAATACAATAAGCAATTAGGAGCAGGTGTTAATTTTTTTTAATTGAGGTGAAAACTGGTGGTGGCGAGGCTTCCAAGTGCACGGTAGTCACGTAAGAACAGCTGTGGCAGTAGGCGAACAACGAGCTGGTACGGCTAGGGGGTTATAGGGATTTGATGAGGGTGGGGGGATGATGTCGGCGGTAGTGTCAGGTGGGGTGTTGGTGCCTTCAATCGGTTGGAATCCGGCCAGGGAGCAGCAATCGTACGAAACAAAAAGCTGCGGTGGCCGACGATTTGCGGGATCAACAGGGTGAAGGACAGAGGGTGAGAGAGAGAGGTTTTGGAAGAAACGAAAATATTAAAACCTGTTAAATGATTATTTTAGCCTTTAATTGTTAAAGGAAATGAGCCGTATTAATTTAAGGGTGAGAATCTAGGATTTATGAAACCAGAGGTGTGAACTTGACATTTCACTAAACCTTGGGTGGGAACATGTTGTTTGCTCTTAGTTTGCAACTTGAATATATGATCAACAAAAGACAAGATTACAATGTTCTCCGTGAAGAGTGAAGACAATCTATGATTGGAGCTCGTGGTGTGTGTATGTTTGATTAAATTATTACTTAAGGGACCGGCAGCATCAACCCCTGGCCATGGCAAAGACAAAAAACAAGGCTTATCTCCACCTAAAAAAACTTATACGCCATACAAAAATTTTCTTTGATAGGAATCTCTGCAATTCGGTACTCTTAAAACAGTGCCAATTGAAAATGGTTAACACAGTACTTAAGAAATGAAAGAACTGGACACTCAATGTCCTGCCAAACTCCCCTCACATGCAAACCTACTTTATGTCAGCATTAATAATGCAGTATGCCTTTGATTTTTCAAAGCTCTGACAATATTTTTTATTCTTTATCATATAATTTACACGTGAAGACAGAGAGAGAATGAGACTAAAGTGAATGAAAGTTTTGGTACTTAGAAATTTTGTAAAGAGATGAACGCATATATAAAGAAGAAAAGATGATAATTACGCCTGTACTATATTAGTCTTAAGAAATGATTAAGTGATTTGAGATATCTTTAGGAATTTATTCAAACTCGAATTTGAAACTTTTAGGTAAAAGTGTGATAGTAATATTTTGTGTAACAATTAATATTTGTGATGTTTTCGCATATGAAAGTTTGATTGAGACCTGTTAATGTGGGTTTGAGGTGTTTCCAAGTGATTGTCAATTCAAAAGTTAATGCACATATTCGTTCCAGCTAAGGTATCTTTAAAAAGAAGAGTATAAATTTTGTGAAATAGAACAACAAATCTGAAATTTTTATATGGCTGAAATTATGTGAAGAATAGTCAATTGAGACAAAATAGACATTGATGGAAGATGTTAATTGTCCTTATAGATCAACTCTCCTCCACATGTAGGAACCAGAATTCGAATCGCACAGTATTGGTTACAAAAAAATAGAATCAAAACCTACCCGCACCGTGTCAGTTCCGAGTAGGTTCCGGTTTCAATTTTGGTTCTACCCACAAGTTCCGGTTCTACCACCCCTACTTATATATCAACTCTCCCCCACCAAATGCAATAATATTAAAACAAATGAAAACTTTATAATAAAAATGTTGCCGTTACGGTTTTGGTTCGACACGAGACCGACTCACACAATTCTCCTCCACCCTCTACGATCCCCTAAACCTACAAGGTAAGGAAAATCAATGAAATGGCTTCCCGACACTCTAGGTATAATGGCAATACCACTAGTTAGTACGCGATTAACAAATATAATTTGTCAACACGTATCTTCCAATCAACCAACTTCACAATAAACGCAACAATAGTAGAAATGAAATTAAATCTGAACACAACTCAATTACAATCGATGCGAAGTAATGAAAAGCAATATTCATCATTCAATTATTTCAAACCAACGTTTATCATTCAGCAAGTTCTATGAAAACATTAAATCACAATGGACAACAATATTCATCACAAATTATGCTCAAATCATATTAAAGTATCGAAATCAAACATGAAACAAAAACAAATATAATTCAAAACACAATACTACCAAATGTCCTACAATCGGGCTCATCCAACTAGTCGAGAGCTGATGAGCAGAGTCGTGGAGTCAATCTCGATCTCGCCTATGCCATAACAGACAACCGGGAACTCAGCCGCTCATGGTGGTGATGACAGAGGTTGAAACAGTGGAAACGAAGCTGATCATGGTGGAGAGGAAGTAACCGACAATGATATGATGCGAAGAAGGGGCAAAAACGACCAACGGACAACCTGAAATACGAACAGTCGCACTCGCCAGAAAACGTTAATTTTTCGACGGGTCTTCCAAAAAATGGTGGCGGAAATGGGATCCAAAGGTACCGATGGAAAGCTCTGGTGATGGGGAGTTCAGATCAGGTCCTAGGGAGATGAAAGGTCACCGGAAATGAGCGAGATCATGGTTGGAAGATGAAGAGGCGCAGCGGCTAGATGGCGGATTCTGGCGGTTTTGGCAGCAGTTGAAGCTTGGAAGTGCTAGATCTGACTATGGGGAAGGAAGATCAACCACTAGGAAGCTGAAACGTCATCGAAAGCTGGAGAAATAATGGTGGTAGATGAAGAGTCACGATGGAGGAATGCGAAACGT